TATATCCCAGTGGGAGAAGCTCCCTCTATACACTCATCAAAGCATATATCTGAAGCAATGTGTCTAGGAACCTTGTGTAAAATATATATTCTTCTCTGATGAGAAATTATATATATATATATATATATATATATATATATATATATATATATATATATATATATATATATATATATTATATATATATATATATATAAACGACAAACAGAACAAAACAAACAATATTCATTATAAAAATGTCAATCAAAATATCTTATCAGTTTTTATATTCTCCAGGTGATAAGCGCAAAGAAATAAAATGAATAAATATTTCAGTATTAAACACAATCACGCTATGGAAATTCAGTTTACTGGCGGTATAATTCCATAAGTGCTTTGAGTTACGTTACAGGCGAAGTGCTTCGTATTTCTTTGCCCGTCCCGGTGTCACATTCATAAATATATATATATATATATATATATATATATATATATATATATATATATATATATACACACAAGGTTATTTACCTAGGTCACACTAGGTGCCAATCCGCATAAAATCATAGCACCAAAGTCCGTATTAAACCCATAAAACGAAATTGTGAAGGTCTAATAGCGCTATTTAAAGCAACAAGGACAGGTGATGAAACTGTAGACTAACAACATATCGTTGTTTCTTTTGTCATTGTACACAATGGACACACACAAACACACATGCATGCACACACACACGCACATACACACACACACACACACACACACACGCACACACATACACACACACATATAAATATATATATATATATATATATATATATATATATATATATATATATATATATATATATATATATATATATATATATATATATATATATATAATACTATTATCCACGAAAATATTTTTAGGACATCAGTTGACTCGAACTCGCGTCTCAATCTACAAAATCACGCTGCCATAACAACTGTACCAACTGTTGTAGTGGTGCAGTTGGTTAATGCAGCATGAATCTGTTGCTCGAGACGCGAGTTCGAATCCCCTGATGTCATAGAAAAGATTTTCGTAAATAATAATAATAGTATTGTTTATTTTACGGTTTATTGGAATAGTGTAAATTGTAATAAATCCTAGTTCTCACGTTTCCAAGTAAAATCTAATCTCGTAAAGAAGAGTAACCCCGGGGTAGTCTAAGCTAACAATTTAAAGGGGTTCATATTCTTTAGAAGATCCATTAATTCGTCACTAGTCGATAATATCACGAAATATTTTCTGTCTTACGAAAAGTGGATCGGCAAAGAACTGCTCAGCAATTTACAACCTTATTATACTGTGAAATAAGGTTCATGTCTCGCTTGCTCTTAGCCTCAGTCTGAAATTATTTGCATATTGGCTGAATAATTTCTTCCGGGTAGAAAGACACTCATATGCATGAGTGTCTTTCGAATGAGTTATTGTTTTAATAACATTAGATGGATCATTCATGGTATGATTAGACAACTAGTCGAAGCAATTCACTAAGAGTCATGGAAAAGCGGTAATGAAGAGATAAGAGATAATGTAAGAGGAAAATTAAAAGTTGAATTTACAAGCCATCACAAAGAGGTACATGTGGATCGTAGTGAATGCGTGTTTCTTGGCTCGGCCACCCCCCTTCAAGGGGGAATGAGGTCATGTATATGTAAGTGTGTGTGTGTGTGTGTGTGTGTGTGTGTGTGTGTGTGTGTGTGTGTGTGTGTGTGTGTGTGTGTGTGTGTGTGTGTGTGCGTGTGCGAATGTGTGTGTAAGCATTAACGGCTAACATACAGCATTGAACAGTAAGGAAGCCCATCAGTGAAACAACACAGAAAATAACGCTATACTGTGGGTCCTAACTGGACCCAAAATATAGCGTTATGCTCCCATAAGTGTCATAAAAGTCGACTAAATGGGGCAGAGCGAGAGAAGTGAGGATCCCCCTCCTATGTATTTTCTTTCAAAGGATCGAGCCAAGGCATTTGGCTTTGACTCAGCCACCCCCTTATGAGAGAGAGAGAGAGAGAGAGAGAGAGAGAGAGAGAGAGAGAGAGAGAGAGAGAGAGAGAGAGAGAGAGAGAGAGAGAGAGAGAGAGAGAGAGAGAGAGAGAATTAGTTTCCCAATCTGCATAACAGCGAAAAAGGAAATTACTAAGAAAACCGATAAAAAAAATTTGTATTCTCCTATTTCTACCTCGTCCTAGACCTGCTACTTTTTCTTCTTAATGCTATATTGTGCCCAGGGCCGACAAGGGCAATTTTCTTTTCTCGTCCCGGTGTCTCAGACATAAAACTATATTAGTGTGCAATAATACACTCTTAGCCATGATAAAGTTCTTAAGTCCATCCGACGATCCTTCGGTTAGGTTAGGTTAGGTTAGATTTCTTTAGTCCATCAAGAAATCCTTTATCATCACATTTAATCAAAGTTCCGAGGGAATTTTTCAGTTGTAAACATAATTGCAAAACGAGACCGCTAAAGACTTGACTACCGAACCCAAATAAATAAAGTCACACGAAAAAACTCTAAGCTATGCTAACCTTACCTAACTAATCCTACCTAACTTAACCCAAACCTAAACTAACCTGCCTAACCTAATCAAACCTAACTTAACCTAACCTGACCTGTGACTTTTTTTTCTGTGACTTTACTACCGGCCACCGAACTACCACGTGGTTAAGAATGAATCTGTCTATATACAAAAGCCATAATCCTCCTTATTAGTAGGAGTGGCTACTTATAAGAATCATTGCGTCAGTAATATTTAGAGGAGAGTCTCATGTGTCAACTTTTACGACACGCAGGGGAACACGGAGGAGGTAATATCGGACACCCCCTTCTCAAAAGCAAAACAAAAACAAACAAATCTATGTATAATCGAGCCTATATCCTCCGTGTTCCTTTCTCAGTGTCGCAAAAGTCGACTAAATAGGGTGGAGCGAGGAAAATGGGAATCGCCCCCTCTGTAATTTCCTCGCACAAAGTGCCAAATTATTTTGCTTTGACTCAGCCATCCCCCTTAAAGGGGAATTATGGTGCTTTGTATATAGATAATGGATTATCTATAAAGGGATTTTTTGTTTACATAGTTAAACCCCGTTGGAATGGGGACTGACACAAAAAACGGTGTAGACCCAGCCACACTTTCTCAAGGATCAACTGTCGGAATAAACCCACTGGCAGGCTGAAAAACCTACCTGGGAGTATTTTTTTTTTTAAAGACACGATACACATAAGCCAAATGTGTCATATCGAAGCATGGACTCCATCACCATAAAAACGAAATTGGAAAGAGAGACCATAAGGAAATACGTAAAAGAGCCATAAAAAAAAATTTGGTACGTAAAACTATAAGGAAGGATGCAAAAACAGAATAAAAACAGTAGTGGAAGCAGCTGCAAGAAATGGGGCAAGAGAAGAGCCGGAGTAGTAGAATAGAAAGAAATGTATGTGAGAGACAAGCTTTTGTTACCACGATAACAATGGCAGTGACGTTATACCCGGAGCAGAAGACAGTGAGAGAGAGAGAGAGAGCTTATGGACAACTTTTCTAAAGACGCCATTTTGAATCTATCGGATACTCCTATAACTTGTAGCAGTGTTTCTCAACCTTTTTCAAATTGGGGCGCACTTGTAGAGTAATTAAAACTCTGAGGCGCACTTAATATATCAGTAAGATAAAATTATCCATAACATTTTAAAATAAGAAAATTATAAAGGGAGGCTCTTGAAATAAGCATGCATATCTAAGACAATACAATATATTATATCAAGTATGCTTGCGTGAGACCTGTGCTTGATGTGCTTTGGCTATTCTTTTTTAATATTAGACCTTATATGTGATAAGCATGCTCTCATTCCCTCATCAATACATCTAATAATTGATCTATTTTTACATTTAATGTTGGTAAATGCAGAAAATTCTAATTCACAGAGATATAATGTGGATAACTGCAATAAAATATTTAGTGATTTACGAGCTATTGAAGGAGATATTTCTCTTTGATGGAAATCCAAAATTGATGAATCGGAATCTCTTTATGTTTGATTTTTCAGATGTCCCTCCCGGTACTTAGGTCAAAGGCCGTCCTTTGGACAAGAGCTCGTTCCAACACAAGGTTGGCTTTAATCTCAAACAACAACAACAACAACAACAACGCTTATTCCTGTACTCAAATGTCATTATAGTTGCTTCTCACGTGCTTTAGAACGGGTTGTTCTAATATTTTATATCAACCATTCACGAGAGAGAGAGAGAGAGAGAGAGAGAGAGAGAGAGAGAGAGAGAGAGAGAGAGAGAGAGAGAGAGAGAGAGAGAGAGAGAGAGAGAGAGAGAGAATGACTGATTTAAATACCTGCCTATCCGTAGTTTTTTAGAAATACAGATTTTTCATTAATATAAAAAAAAATCATAAATTACTCTTTCATTAACTTGGGGTGCACCTTGCTACCTTTCAGGGCGCACCGGTTGAGAAACGCTGCCTTAAACGAAGGAAATTATATCCACAGTATTCCCCAATGTGTCTAAAATTGAAAAAAATGGTGGTGTAGCGAGGGAATTGAAAATCCTCTGCTTTCTATGTTCGTCCCACAAAGAAGACAGCGAAAGAGAGCTTATGAACAACTTCTACAAAAAAGCCAATTTGAATCAATCGGATATTCCTATAAACTGAAGGAGGGAAAGAATACCTCCTCCGTATTTCCCTGTGTACCGCAAAAATTGACGAAATGGGGCGTAGAGAGGGGACTGGGAATCCCCCTGCTTTTTATTTTCGTCCCACAAAGGATCAAGTTTTTTTGTTTTGATTTAGAAGCTGTACCTTTTCTTATATGTTCTTTCGGTGCCCGAATCCGATAAGGGCAATTTTCTTTGCCTGTCCCAATGTCACACATAAAAAAATACCTGAAAAAGTATGCCAAAAATATGCTAAAACACATGCCATCGGATTGCCTAACTATGGCGTCCAACGAATTTTGATATTAACTTTATACACACGTATGCACGGCCATCGTGGCCGAGTAGTAACGTTCGCGATTTTGATTCGTCAGGATGTGGGTTCGAGGCCCACCGTGGTCTGAAGTTAGAAAGAGCATTTACTGACGGTAACTGTCGCACTTGACAAAACCAAAGTCCTTCGCAATATGGCACCATCCTAATCCTTAATAGAAGGATTTAGCAAACTAATTACGGATATATACATACGTTCCTATTTAAATTCCCAGCTACTTTAGGTATCAACATTATATACATATAAACGAAGATTTAGTAGTTTAATCACGGATATATACATACGATTTGATATAAATCCACGTGAAAAGCGTTCAATCACGGATAAATACATACGTTCTGAGTTAAATCCCCTTGAATAGCGTTTAATCACGGATATATACATACGTTCTGATTTAAATCCCCCGTGAATAGCATTTAATCACGGATAAATACATACGTTCTGATTTAAATCCCAAACTACTTTCACCCAAAATCTTCAAAACTTCTATTTATCACGATCACATATTTATTCAAACAAAGCGCGATCCCACCGCTGGGCGTTAGGAAGGGCATCAAGCCTTAATTCCCTGTCTCCAACCTGTCTGTGTGCAACCCCATTTGAAGGGGATTGAATAGTGACAAAACAAGGCAAACAAACATTTCTATTCGATAATAATAGTGAGAAAAAAAATTAGGGTATGTTGGTTGTGCAAGCAACATAATGAATACTAGTCATTTATTTCAAGATAATAATAATAATAATAATAATAATAATAATAATAATAATAATAATAATAATAATAATAATAATAATAATAATAATAATAATAATAATAATAATAATAATAATAATAATAATAATACACTAAATATCATAACACCATATTTAAATCATAATCTGGTTAGTTTACACAAACAATATCATTCAGTATTTTTAGATGATGAGTACAATGACATAAATATTTCTACAAAATTTCATACGCCGTTTTATTTCAAAATTGGTCCCCAGTCGAAAAGGGGTTGAACCTAAATAAATAGGAGTTAGTTTGAAATAGGGCGGTACGATCTCGCCACCCCCTGTCGGATTTGCAATTCAGCAGGTCTTGCCCTTAAGTACAGTAGCCATATTTAAACTAATCCAATTTAACTTAGCCAGTAATTAATTGTCCTACCAAGTACAATCTACCATCCAAAAATTAGTTAAGGTCAACTAACAGCTGCGACAACAGTCCATATTCATATTGTAAAAAAATAAATAAATAAATAAAAATTCTATACGCAAGTTACTTCATCTCTGATTCACCGACTCAAACCTACCAGCTCCGTAACTTTTACTAGTTTTAGTTCTCCACTAGTTCTAGTTCTAAACTAGTTGAAGTGCTACGTTAACTGAAGTTCTACTTAAGTTGAAGTTCTACGTTAATTGAAATCCTACTTAGGTTGAAGTTCTACATTAGTTGAAATTCTACGCTAGTTGAAATTCTACGCTAGTTGAAGTTCTATGCTAGTTGAAGTTCTACACTAGTTGCAGTTCTATGCTAGTTGAAGTTCTACACTAGTTGAAGTAGTTGAAGTTCTACAGTAGTAGAATTTCTGCACAAACGAAGCGGCGAAAAAAACTCTACGGAGCATAGGACCAGAGTTTCATTCTAAGTTGGTTATCATAGGGTTTTTTTAGCGTTTTTAAGGACTAAGGTTAGTAAGGGCATACACTCAGGGTAACGATTACATCTGTCAAAAATAAGTCCTTCGCAAGAAGGCAACCGTCCTAGTCCTTAGTAGAAAAGGGAGTTCGTGACATAAAACCGAATCCAGTATCAGTGTTGAGGAAGACCATGAGGTCGTGTGGTGTGAGAGAGGAGGACGAAGGGGATAGGGTGATACAGAGACGAATGATCCGCTGTGGCGACCTCTGACAGTAGCAACCGCAAGATATGATGATGATTAGTCCCCATTAGTATAGGCTAGGGGGACACAAACTGAATGGAACTGGTAAATTAAGCCTGGCTACCCTTTCTAACGCCCCGCGGTGGGCTCAAGTTTAGAATTATCACTTCCGGAGTTGAGTCCTCTAACCATTAACGTATTTTCTCCAAATTTCGATGGCCAATATAGTCAATACTGCAAGCATGGGTTACTCATACAATATACGCAATGGCCGTAAACTCCATGTAAGGGGGTGGCCGAGTCAAGGCACACATTTACCAGAAACTAATATACCTCAAACACTCCTATTGATTTCTTGGGCTTCTCGTACAGTATATAAATAAAGAGAGAGATTTATCAATATCAATATTTAATGAAATGGACCCTTAAGATCATGTGTCATAGAGGGGGAAATTCTTATTTGATCAATAATTAAAGATGATAATACTCATTCTGTCTACACTTTAAGAAGGGGTTGTTGATATAAGCCGCGTTTTCGCGAGACAAAAAGTCAAGTTAACTTGACTTGCTTTGCTCTACTTTGTCAGCAGTACCATCCGTACAAAGGTAGTTACATAAAACGATTTAATTTGTTTTATTATTATTCACTTGAGCACTTAAACTCTGAATTAGCAATAGGTGCAACATTTATGCAAAAAATGCTTTTTAATAATATCTGATATAGACTTCAACGTTGAACTGGCAATAGCAGAAATATTCACATAAAAATGCTTCCCAAGAATGTTTGATAAACCCTTCAACTCAGAACATGATTAACAGCAACATTAATGATTTTGTTTAAAGAAAATATGATAAACTTTTCAAAGATGAATTGATATTAATACCAACTTTTACTTTAAAAAAAATCGTATACGTTTCAACGTTGATTTGGCAAAAAAAAAAAAAAAAAAAAAAAATTCTTTTATCAAATCTGAGAAACGTTTCAAAGCCTAAAAACTCCTCCCTATTAAATCATTTTCTACTGTTCTATGAACTTTCGCTTCACCATACAAGATGAAATTGCACTCAGATAAATATGGGCATAAAGCGAAAATCCCCACAGATAAATATGGGCATGTTACAATGGTCTTGCAGTGAAAATCAAGTCAGATTTTATGAAAGTGACGCCCAAGAAAATGAGCTCTGCAAAGTAGATTTGGTAATTTTGGCGAAGCAGTTTTGGCGTAAGCTATTTTGGCGCTGATCCATTTTGGTGACGGACGTTTTAACGCTTGAAAGATTACTTTTATTTTGAACAGCTGACCAAATCCAGCCTAACTAACTTAACCCTACCCAACCCAACCCAACCCAACCTGACTTAATTTAACTCGTTACAAAACGGTTGGCGCCAAAACGGCGTCGCCCAATCGTCCCATTCTCTTGAAAAGTAACTCCGCAGTGCCTCATTTGGGGTGCTTTTACCTTAAAGAGCACACTCGGGTGACTTGCCAGTGGCCCCTCTCTAAGTCAGAACAGAGAAGGGTTCGGAAAATGGTGCCAAGAATTTCCGTAGGAAGGTCATCCAGATCATTTTATTTACTTTCAAATACACACACAGACACACAAACACACACACAGACACACACACACACACACACACACATGTACCCATAACAAACAGTGTGATTTTGTTCCTAGTGATATAAACAGATACCTAATAGAGATTGCATAAAAGTAAGGTTGAAGAAGAAAAATAGCAAATAAATCATTTTATTTACTTTCAAATACACACACAGATACACACACTTACACACACACACACACACACACACACACATGTACCCATAACAGTGTGATTTTGTTCCTAGTGATATAAACAGATACCTAATAGAGATTGCATAAAAGTAAGGTTGCCGAAGAAAAATAGCAAATATATCATTTTATTTACTTTCAAATACACACACAGATACACACACTTACACACACACACACACACACACACACACATGTACCCATAACAGTGTGATTTTGTTCCTAGTGATATAAACAGATACCTAATAGAGATTGCATAAAAGTAAGGTTGCCGAAGAAAAATAGCAAATATATCATTTTATTTACTTTCAAATACACACACAGATACACACACTTACACACACACACACACACACACACACACACACACACACACACACACACACACACACACACACACACACACATGTACCCATAACAAACCGTGTGATTTTGTTCCTAGTGATATAAACAGATACCTAATAGAGATTGCATCATAGCAAATAAATAAGTAAATAAACAAATGAAAGGAAACTTAGAATAATATGTTGTTTATCTCACTGAGAGAGGACACAAATACTAACAATATTAATGAATTGTTCCGGTTTTACGTCACGGACTCCCTTTTCTACTAAGGGCTAGGACGGTTGCCTTCTTGCGAAGGGCTTGTTGTGGCAGATGTAATCGTTACCCTGAGTGCATGCCCTTGCTAACCTCAGACCGTGACGGTGCGCGAATCCTCGACCTGACGCCTCAGATATTAATGAATATGTAGTATAAAAAGGATTAAAGACAATGAGAAACCTATTATCTATTGATAAAATTATTGCCTTTAAAAAAAACAAAGCTACGAATATAAAAAGTTAATGATGGTAAAAAGAACATTTTTTCAAGGAGAGATGAAAAAAAAAGGAAATGGAAAGAGGTAAATCGCGCTAATATCACAATGTAGCAGTTTGACCCTTGGCATCAGCCGCCCGTTGCGATACTACAACTGAAGGTCTTTTGAACCTAAAACAGGACTGTCCAAGACTTTTCGATGTTAAGTCTTCCTTAAGTTATGGTTCTTTTTCCATGCCAATATCATTTCCGAATATTCTTGGATATTCATTACATATCTCGTACTATCCCCTCACACCTAAAAAGTCACTACACTCTCCATCTCTGTTTCTCTTTTCGTTCTTTGGTGCCCAGGCCTGATGAGGGCAGTTTTTTTTTTTTTTTTTACTTATAAAACCAAAAAAAAATTCATGAGACTGAAAAAAGGTTTTACTCCTGTTCTATCCAAGAATTTTTTCACTGTACACACCGAAGATCTACATAGATCTCTCCACTCTGGAAATAACAAACTCGTGTTCGAGCCCACAGCGGGGCGCTAGGTAGGGCATCCGGCCTTAATTCCCTAGCTCATACCCGTTTGTATCCACCCC